GGGGGGTTACAGTAATGCCTGTAAGGAAGCACCTGCCTGATTCTGGATGGGGAAGGGCAGGTGGTCCCGTAATGCCTGTAAGAAAGCAACTGCCTGATCTCAGCTGGCGAAGGCAGGTGGTACCGTAATGCTTTAAAGAAAGCATCTGCCTGAGATGAGGTGGGGGTGGGAGAGTGGTACCATAATGCCTGTAAGAAAGCACCTGCCTGATGTGAGGTGGGGGCCAGGGCAGGCGCTACTGTAATGCCTAACCCATACAGGGTCTCCCCAGTTGCAGTCTCCCATGGCCGTAATGCTGCTAAAAGCATTGCCCCCACCCACATGATGGATCTCAAGCCTTTTTTGGAGCAGAACATAATTTCAGGGGGGTGGGGGAATAATACCATAGTGCTCCTAATATGGGTGCATGCCCTACACCTGCTGACAGCATTGACCCTGTCATTGGAGCCCCCCCTTAAAAGTTCTACCGTAATACCCCCCTGTTGTGCATGTCCTTGTGAGCTCAGCTGAGCCGTACTGTAATCCAAGACCTTTCCAGGGGGGTCCCCGCTCTGGCTCAAGCTGGGGGTGGGGGGACCCCAGCCAGCTCCCTCACTAGGTGCTCTGCTATGAGGATTTTAGGGGGGGGGCAGATCTGGGACACTGTGTCTTTAAGGCCTGTGTATGTGCGGGGCAGGGATGGGGGAGGCAGCCCCCAGCCCCCCAGATTGCGTGCATGGGGCTATGACCTATGGATTGACAGCCAGTATCCGAGCTTCGCCCTGGCTGTCTGTTCTATAGGGCATAGGACTGGGCGCACCCGTGGCGGGGGGCAGGGCTTGAAGGAAGGGGCAATAAACTGATTTCCCGGCAGCTGTGTCCTCTATTGACCCCAGGGGGGAGGGGGGCAGATTCGTACCAGGCACTCAGAGGCCTCCAGCTGTTATGGGGATTCCCAAGGACCCCCCAAATCAACTCCGAGGGCCTGGGGAAAGGTGTCCGGGCTCCCGGCGCCCTGCTCTCACCCCCAGCCCCCGCTCCCCTCCCAGAGCTGGAGAGACCCAGGTGTCCCGGCTCCCAGCCCCCCCCAACCACTAAACCCCACCCGGCCCCTCGCCTGCCCCAGCCGGGGCTGAGCTAACGCCTGGAGCAGCTGGTGGGAAGCGGTCAAGGGCTGCCGGCCTCACCCAGTGCGGACGCCTGGGCCCTCTCCAGCTCTGGGAGGGGGGAGCGGGATGCCTGGGCTTTCTATAAATACCTCCCTGCCCAGTGCCAGCCACCCAGCTCCCCCCACCAGGGCATGGGAACTGCCCCGCAGCTTCCCCAACCCCTTCCCTGGGGGGTTAGAGTGGAGCCGGGTCCCCTGCCAGCCCATGCCCAGCTGTGCGGGCCCCTCCCTGGCTTCCACCCGCTCCCCAGCCTCTGGAGCCAGCTGGGAGGGGGCGGAAAATCTCCGCGGCCTTCGGGGAGAACTGTATTTGGTGGCCACGGGGCTGCCTGGCTCCCTGCCCCGCTCTCTGCCTCTAGGATTTCATGGGGGAGTGGGGGGGTAGGATGGCCTCTTCCCTTCCCGGCCCCTTTGCTGGGGTTGCAGACATGGATTTACACCCCAGGCCCAGCCAGCCCCGTGTTCCCCCCTCCCCTGCCTCCAGAGCACTGGAAGACGTGGGGCTGAAATGCGGCTGGGGCTGGGGTGGGACGTGTCAGCTGCCGAGTAGAACAGGCACAGCCGGCTCTGGGGGGTGCCGGGTCTGGAGGGACAGGGCTCCGTGCTGGGAAGAGGC